AAAGACAGTAACTAGTAATATATAATGTATTACATTTTGGAAGTAACTTGCCCAACACTGTAAATAATTGCACAGTAGTTGTTGCTATATTGGCAGGTTTGGGATGTAAAAAAATACCAGAAAATAATTTTTTCTGGTTATAGATGGAAAGCCATGCCCTCCGGCCCCTGAGCTGGAGCAGTGGAGACCCTGTGGCACACACTCATGCACAGTATACTACTGGGATACTTCACCTTGGGATCCCTGTATGCCAAACACCATCACAGACGAGAGTGAAGGTAACGGCGCACCTCCACAGATGGAGAACGATGCCAACTGCGGTACAGGGGTACAGATGCACCAAGTCACATGCAGGAGAGCTGGGAATGGACATGTGCTGCCAAAACGGTAAAGAAACACAATCTTTCATCCTAAATTCTGTATAGAACACCCATACAGAAAATCTCATACTAATATCAACTTTAGGTGTCCTGAATCCTCTTGTCCTGACTCCATCCGGTCTTGTCCTTTACCTTGCAAAATTGACTGCATCGTCACACCTTTTAGCGAATGGAGCACCTGTCCCACTTCCTGTTTATCGGGTAAGCATGTAGACCCCTAACCCTAACAGCATGTCGTTACCAGGAACAGCTTGACAAGCTCAAAATTTTAACTTCATGTTTATTCTCCCAATACTGTGAACTTCTTTGCTTTTCTAGTGAATGCTACTGCACCAACCCAGTCTCGTCACAGGATCATCATCCAGAGACCTGCTAATGGAGGTCAAGAGTGCCCAGATACTCTTTATGAGGAGAGAGAATGTGATCCACCCCCTCTGTGCCCAACTTACAGGTAAAGAGAGAAATGGTTAAATGAGCGATAAACGGCGTCTGTTATGCTCACCAAGGCTGCATTTATTTGATCAAAATACAGTAAAAACTGTAATATTGTAAAATATTATTACAATTTATTTTTACAGTTTTAAAATGTAATTTATTCCTGTAATGGCAAAGCTGAATTTTCAACAGTCATTATTCCAGTCTTCAGTGTGACAAATCAAACTGATTAATGCAAAGCTACATCTAGATCATGATGTAAAAATCTCTCACTTCTCAAGTAAATCATAATAAACTTGATATCAACATAATATAATCATCAGTAGCTTATTATTGATTCTTTGTTGTGAAAAATGCAAAAACCAAATATAATTTTTCTTATTTTTATATCTTTAGGTAGGAGAAACTAGAATTCAGCTTTCTGGGAAATTAGGAAAAACAATATAAAAATTAATAAACGTAAAGCTTTTATAAAGTACCCTTTAAAATGTTTAGAGCATTTTTAAAATCATCCTATAAGACAGAAAATTACCCAAATGTAATCAAACCGTGTACAACATGTGGTGTTACTCCATTAAAATGTGCTAATGCGTATCCCTACTAGATGTGCCAACAAAATACAAAATGTTCAGAAAATATAATTGGATATAAGCCAGACGCTGCAACATGTTTTCTGTGCACTGGTGTTTCATGGCAGATGGCAGACCCACCGCTGGCATCAGTGCATTCTGGTACCTGATTCGGTGAGGAAGGCTGTGGGTGGGCCCGCAGAGGCATGCGGTATTGGCCTAGAGACAAGAGGTAAGTGACAGATTAGGATCTCTGTATGATTTAAAGTTTTATTAGGAAAGTTCTGCAAAACCGGGGTTACTGTAGGACGATTACTCATCTTAGAAATTCAGAGGGACTTCTTGGCTGCCTGCAGGGTTTTTTTTTTTTTTCTTCTTGCAATTTTCCCCATACTCTCTAGTTTTATAGAAAGTTGTCAAGATGTCAGAGAGGACACACAGCATGGTATGACATCTGACATCTCCGTCCCCGGACCCTTTTTAAAATATCCTGCTGGTACTTCATGTAAATGTAAAGGTGCTGGCCTATCAAGACACAGTAGGGATCCTTTCAGAATGCGGTATGCAGCGGACGGGACCAAATTCTGCCTGTCAGTTTTGGAAAGTGAGAAGAGTGTTTCTCAGCAAATAAATGATTCCTGCACAGTGGGCTTCAATTAGGAAACACAAGCAGTATGATTATCTATGTAAATAATTTTTTAACCATTCTTACTTAAATTGTTCAGTGGAACCCAGTGTTACCCAGTGTTCAGTGGAACAATTTACATAAGAAAGGTTTTACAAACATTTTAACACTAATTTGTTCTGCTCAATGAAAATGAATGAGACTCAGTGTGTTACAGCAGGCCTCAGAATGTGTTTGTACACCTTTAAAGGTCACATATTTTACACCTTTCTGGAGTTTTATTTTAAGTCTTGGTGTCCTTAAGACTATATATTTGTGGTATAAGTACACATATTTTTACAGTTCCTGTCTCAGGAGCTCTGCAAAGAACAGGTAGAGTTTGGCCTGTCTAATTAATATTCATGAGCCTCTCTTCTGATTGGCCTGTTGTTTTCTGAGTGACGCACAGCCAGAATTTATGCAGGCTGTGTGCATTTGACTGTGGATTGACTGTTTTGAAACTTATATGGTAGTTACATAGCACCTAGACCTCAGTTATCATGAAAATTTTAGTTTTGACAATATGGGACCTTTAAGAGATATTTCACCCAAAAAAGATAAATCCGTCATCATCTACTCACCCTCATTTCATATCAAACATTGTTCTTTTTTCTGCGGAACACAAAAATTAGATTTTGAACTGTTTTTATCAATACCACAATGAACCACATTGACTTTCATTGAACTGCATTGACTTTTATTGTATGGATAAAAAACACCCAAGGCATTTTTCAAAGAAGAAAAAAGTCATACAGGTGATTTTTGACAGAATTTTAATTTTTTCACATAAGATCAACATTTCACAGTTGACAAAGTTTGAAAGTGTCCAAAAACTGTATCATACTTTGAACTGTATAACCAGGGGCGCCCGTCCCACCTGTGGGACACTTGGCGCTCTTTTTGTTGTTGTCCTTTTTCTCTATGAAATCTTTTAGTAAACATCATAAATCATATATCATTTGAAAGCTTAGAAGCCCAAGATTCATCCTGTGAAAACCATTTTGAAAACGGACATTGCTTTACCATGGAAATGGTACTTTAAAATCTTTTGGCGGTCTCCTCCCCCTTAGTGGGCAGTGTCAAGTGTCATATTACAAAATGCATTACGGTCTTTTAGAATCAAACCTTTTTATAATCTTGACAAAATACATATCACTGGAAAGGTCTGAGTCTCAGGATTCCATATTTTGAAATAGAAGTAATATTGACAGAGAAATCTAGACATTTGTGACAGAAAATTGCATTTAAAAAAATTATGGAGTTTGGATGGCACCCGGTGGCTGTTTGTGGTATGACGCCCTAAATAAAATCTCACAGAAACCTACATTTTTTTCATATCAACTTCAAATTTGGAACATAACTTATTTATACATAAGGCTTTAATTTTATACCAATTTTAGAGTAAAACCTGTTATGTAAAATATTTATTATATATAAAATAAAATAAAATGAATATAGTGCATTTTCTTTACAGTAAATTTAAACTACCATAACTTTTTTATACTTTAATTGTTTGAAAAAATTCCACTTTTGCAATAATCTGCTTTAATAATTCTTCTTTAAAAAGAGACCAACCTTATGTCTGTATTCCAAAGTGTTCATAAATTACAACAATTTAAGTTTGGATAGTGCACCTGCATGCCTATTTAAAAAAATGGGGGGTGACAGTTAAGGGGTTAAGATAACCAGAGGCCAATAGGCGCCCCCTTCCCTAGATAACTTTTTTTTTAAGCTTACTGACAATTATTTATTTAAAATTTCGATTTTTTTTTCCCTTGTTGATATGCCAGTTAACATTCACAACACTTTTCTGCGTAAAATGTGAATATAAGTGAATATGCAGATTCATTCTTTGCCAGATGGTGGCGCTTGTGGAACAGTTACATAAAGTAAACATTATGCTATTACAGGCATTATACGGAGGTAATATGAAAAGAAAATGCCATCAAAACTTTCCTGGCTGAAATGTGAGTTTCCAGGTATGATTTAAACACCATCAATTACACAAAATATTCATTATTTATCATCAGTAGATCGAAACAACACTTGGCAAGTTGGCATAAATGTGAGCTATTTGGTGATTGCTAACTGCGTTTTGATTTTGAAACGTGCCGTGCTCGCAATTCAATCATAGCCGTTCAAAGTTTAATGATCACATTTAAACAATAGGATGATTCCTATTCTTCCATCCCCAGATTTGAGATTGAGACACTGAAGCAGCATGTTGGAACACAGTGACTGAATCTAAAACCTTCAGCTGACACAGATGACATCCACGCAAAGTGAAAGTCAAAGTGAAGTGACATACTCAGAATTAGTGCTCTGCATTTAGTGGGAGAGAGCACTGTACATTTCCTCCTCCCACCTACAATCTCTGCCGGTACGAGACTCGAACCCGCAACCTTTGGGTTACGAGTCCGACTCTCTAACCATTAGGCCACAACTTCCTGCAAGTCACTGAACTCGCACTGTATAACGTTACAGAAAGTTGTCTGGTCCAGTTCCTTTCACACAGCAGTGTTGTGTTTCTTGTTGATCTGCATGTTAACATACAGACACTCTCGTGCTGGGCTTTACTAGCGCATTGTGTATTCCGCTAGTATATCGGTGGAATACATGGAACATACCAACTATACAAACTGTGTGGGGGAAACTTAAACTGAACCACTCACTATAAACTACAACCAGGGCATCGCTGAAAATGAGTGTGTGAGTTTGTTTACAAAATGCTGTTGTCACTGCTGCAAATTCTCATATATTCAAATAATTATTCAAAATAATATAATTTTCTTGCAGCCAGTGGGCCCCCTTCCCTGTGTAGGCCCCTGGACTTCAGCCTGTTGAAGCCCGTGCATTAATGCGCCCCTGGGTATAACTGGTATCTTTTCTTTCTCTGTCATGTTTTCAGAGGTGACGTGTGTTGGTGCGGATGATTCTCCAGCAGATGTGACCGACTGTTTGAGGTGGGCTGGACTGATGCCCGTCCCGGTGAGGGAATGTCGTGTGCCATGCAGAGATGAATGTAGCTTCACCTCCTGGAGCAGATTCACCCAGTGTCAAGGCTGTGGAAGTTGGCGCACTCGTACCCGATCTCTGATAGGTAACATGTTCAACCATAAACTATTCTGATTATCAAAATGTTTTCTGGAAACACACACACCATCCAAGTTCCCCTTCCATCCAAACTCTCAGGCCGCAGTAAGAAGCGCTGGCGATGCCAACAGGAAGAGACGTTTCCTCTGCTGGAGAAAGAAGCCTGTCCTTGTTCTGAATTTCACACCCAGGCTCAGGGTCCCTGGTCTCCTTGTTTGGTCTCACCAGCAAAGAACATTGCTGGCCATCCTTTCATCCAAGGAGTTTCCCACCAAGGCCAAAAGGCAGTCCAGGACTGGCGAGCTCAGAGGAAGTACAGCGAGTGTGGGCATGGGAAACGCTACAGAGCTCTTGCCTGTCTGGATCACCTGGGACGATTGGTGGAGCCAGCTCTCTGTAGAAGCCCTGGTGATGCACTCTTCCAAAAATATCAAATAAAATTATCATTTATAATGAAATTATTATTTATATGTTTTTTCAGACCATTTTATTTTTCGCATATTTTGTTGTAGCCTTACGCTAAAATTATTTAAATTACTTTTATTTTAAATTATTATATTTATTATATCTAATTATTTATTTATCTATTATATTTATATATATATATAAACAGATTTGTGATAACTTTGCAAATTCTTTAAAAAGAAAAAGCTGAACTGACATAAATATTCAGATACTATGACATTTGAATTTATTCTTTATTTACAAGAATGAATTGCATAGATCTTGCATATATAAATATATATAATAAAAATAAATATTAAAAATACAATATTATGTTTTCTTTTGTTTTGTACTATTGTAATTTACATTGTATCTTCCATGTATCTCTAAAGAAGTGGCGTGTATGCTGTCACAGGTTATGAAGAGGACTCATGTCATGTACCCTGTTCTACGGACTGTAAGCTAAGTGAGTGGTCGAATTGGTCCGCCTGCAGCGCCTCGTGTGGTGGGGGGGTAAAAGTTCGCTCTCAGTGGCTACGAGAGAAGCCTTTCAATGGAGGTCGGCCCTGCCCAAAACTCGATTACAAAAATCAGGTGAGAATGATGTTCACGTCAACTTCTACTTTATTGATCTTGTAAGAAATAAAGAAACTAATTAGTCCAAATAAGACACGGGTTGTTCTGAGAACTTAAAATATCCAGAGACCTTTAGCTATTATTGATGCTCGAGCTGTTCAGTATATTTAAATTAGCCTCAAGGAAAAATCACCTGCTGTGAAATTATACATGCCCACACTAATATATGCTTATACATGCCTAAATTGTATGTGTTCATACATTCATAAATACTGTATCTTCATCTGTGTGTGGGAGTCACAGAGGACAAGGCAGTGTGTGTGTAAACCTACTGTATAATGTATTATTCATTTGGCCTGGCTTTGGGGGTCTTCCCCAGGCTTCCCACTTTCAGCTGTTTCCACAATGTTTCTCCACCACTTGCTATTCTATTAAGACAAGACTGGAGAGGATCAAGACCTCCAGGGACTGAACCTCTTATCCCCCCTGCTTTTTTCTTTTTCCTTTTATTTCACTCTTTTTATTTTATATTTCATCAGGGCAGGTCAAGCAACATTAAAGTTTGAAGGATCCGGACTGGAGTCGGCAAGCATTTCCTTCAGCTCAGTTTCCCTCATATAAATGAACCACTAAATAACGAATCTATGGTGGGGTCAAACATGTTCCAATAGAAACTAATGGAAAATTTGTCCTTTCCTTTTCCCCTTTTCGTTTTCCCTTTTTTCACTGTTCCATCTTCCTTTCCTTTTCCCCTTGTATTTTTCCCTTTTCCCTGTTCCATCTTCCTTTCCTTTACTTTTACTTTCCTCTTCCTCCTCCTTTTCTTTTACTTTTCGTTCTGTGTTCATTCCATTTTCTTTACTTTTCTTTCCCTGTTCCTTTCCTTTCCATTTCAATATTCTTTTAATTTCCTTCCTTTTCCTTTCCTTTTTTCTTTCTTTCCTTAATAATTTGCTTTGCTTTGCTTTGCTTTCCCTTTCCTTTTTCATTTCCCTTTCCTTCCCCTTTTTTCCTTATTTGTTTTCTTTCCTTTCCCCATTAATTTATTCTTTACTTTTCTTTCCCTGTTCCTTTCCTTTCCATTTCAATATTCTTTTAATTTCCTTCCTTTTCCTTTCCTTTTTTCTTTCTTTCCTTAATAATTTGCTTTGCTTTGCTTTCCCTTTCCTTTTTCATTTCCCTTTCCTTCCCCTTTTTCCTGTTCCTTATTTGTTTTCTTTCCTTTCCCCATTAATTTCCTCATTCTGTTCCTTTCAATTCATTTTCTTTCTGTGTTCATTCCATTTCCTTTCCTTTTTTCCTTCCTTTCCTTTTCCTATTCTGTTTCCTTTCTATTTCCATATTCGTTTAATTTTCCTTCTTTTCCTTGCTTTTTGTTATTCTTTTCATTTCCTTTGCTTTACTTTCCCTTTCCACTCCTTTTCATTCCCCTTTCATTTCCTTTCCCGTTCCCTTTCCTTTCCTCTTTTCTTTTCCCCATTAATTTTCTCTTCCTTTAATATATACTTTTCTTTCTGCATCCATTCCATTTCCCCTTTTTTGATTTTCTTTTCCTTTTCCCTTTCCATTCCTTTAATTTTCGGTTCCTGTTTCCCTTTCTTTTTCCCATTCTGTTAATTCCTTTCTTTTTCTTTTCTTTTCTTTTCTTTGTTTACTTACTGCTTTACTCTCGCTTTCTCTATTGCTTTACTCTTCCTGTCCACCCCTTTCATTTATTCTTTCTTTCCCCATTAATTTCCTCTGCCTTTCATATCCTTGTCTTTATGTGTCTGTTCCATTTCATTTCTCATTTCTTTCCTTTTCATTTTTTTTTCTTGCCCTTTTACCATTATTTTAATTTCCTCTCTTTTCATTTATTTTGTTTCCTTTCTTTCCTCATTCATTTGCTTTACTTTTCCTTTTCACTTTTTTCCAATCCCCTCTGTGGTTTTGCTGCCGGTCATGTTCTGCTGATATGAATATCTACAAAGGCTCAGGTGAGTACCCTAGAGAATTGTGTGTATTTGTGTTTATAATATTTTGCCCTTAAGTGTATATGTCTGCTTATATAAGCATTAGCATGCTATATATTTTCCTTACATACTTGTATACACAGAGACACCCAAAACACACAATTGTGTGCATGCTGCCATAACTATCTTGTCTGTGATCAGGTGTCTGAGGTACTGCCCTGTTACTCTGACTGCAGTCAGTATGTGTGGGAAGTGGAGTTCTGGTCCATGTGTGTCCTAAACCCACCAAACAATCTCAAGAACTCTGGATCAACCCAGCCTGTTTGCGGAGAGGGCTTCCGGACCGGCAAAATCCAGTGAGCTCATCCCATTGAGCCTTTAAATAAGCAAATGATCTCTGAAGTCATCAAAAAAAAAAGTTGAATTAAAAAGAAGTTGTCTCATACTGAGAAAGTCTTTTACAATGTCCCCGTTCTGCCACAGAACAGCAGCACAGTATATTGTGTTTCACCTCTTTGGTACAATGATAAAACAGATCCTGTGTGCGTCCCACAGCAAAATTGTCTCATAAGTCAGCATTCAAAACCGAGGAGAGGTCACAACAGTGCCAGGCAGATTCATGGGGTCATAACTCTGCTTCTTAAAGATAAGTGAGGTCGTAACTCTGCCCTTCAGACTAAAGTGAGGTCAGGGAGATGATGGGAAACCATGGGTAATGTTATAACTGAACAACAATGTTTTCTGGTTGTATTTGTGCTCTCACTCTGTAACATTTTCTTTGCTTAAGAGGTGCCACAATCATCCTAGACATCTGAATTTTAGGCTAAGATAAAATTTGTTTGTCTCTGACCTAAAGCTGCTTGAAAAAGGGAGGAGAAAATCAGGATGAGGTTGTGGATGACTCACTGTGTGACCAGGAGGAAAAGCCAATCAGAGTCGAGACCTGTCTACTGCCGTGCCCCGCCCACTGTGTGACATCAGAGTGGAGCCAGTGGACCAAATGTACCATGGTCAGTATGACTGATGGATGAATAGATGGAGGGGCTGATGAATGGATAATAAAATGTCAGCTTGTCATGATGGGATGATTCAAATAAAATGTTTATTGCTTTAGTAAATATATTGCAGTGGATTTAACAAAATGATTCACAGTAGTACTGAAATACACGACAGGTAACAAAAGTTTTATTATACTTATAAATCTGAACTTTTTTAAATTGACCCAGAAGAATAGCAAAACCTAGAATCTTCCTTTTGGATTATGGACTGTTGAGAGTCCCACAAGAAATGACTTCATTAGTGATTAAATAATCTTAATTCATATCTAAAAATAAAGGTGCATTGATTTTTCTGTAGTAATTATAATCAGCTAATATTAAGGGAATTTTTCTTGTGCAAGTTTTGCACTTTGTGCCATTGTGTTGATTACCAATAACAATAATTGTGGCCTATCCCTACATTAGTAAAAGCAAGCAAAAATAGTGTTTAGAGTAATGCATTTTTAAGTCTAGGGTCTAGGGTGCAAGGCATTGCACCTGAATAATCAAAAAATTACACCCTGTTTGGAAGGTGCGTGACTTAACATTATGCTTGTTGACATGACACAAATAGGATAGAATAGCTTACTAACCTGTGCAGTTATATTGAACTTTAATCAGTCAATCTTAAAGCCTTCTGACCTAAAGAATTACATCTGTAACACTTAAACAGAGGTTAATTTGCCTAGTCCTGAAAGGACGCTTTACAGCTCAAATAACACATTTGAGTGCTTTACCAAAAATATAAGCTACAAATTTCTGCCTTTAAATCCTCCAGAATGTCTTGTCTGTTAAACTTGTTGTAATTGCATTACTGTAAACACAATGAATGGGAAGTCCCCATTAGGATATATATGCGAGATTATGTATTGGTGTATTTGCATGTCTGATTCATGCCTGCATTCCTGCAGGATTGTAATGACGGTGATTTGAGGTGGAGGAGTAGAAGTGTCTTGAGGTGGCCAGAAGGAGATCATACCTGCCCAGATCTAAACCAGACTCAAGCCTGTATCAATATGACCTGTCTCAAATACTCCTATGTTTACTCAGGTGCTGTTACAAGCATTCACACTTTCACAATTTACAGATTTTAAAATGTGTTCAGTCCACATTATGGAGTGCAGGGAGTGAAGTGTGTATGTGTATGTTGTGAAGATTGGAGTAGCTGTCAGCTCAGTGAAAATGCAGTATGCGGCCATGGGATTAAGACCAGACTCCTGAACTGTGTCCGCAGCGACGGGAAGCTGGTGGAACAGAGCATGTGCAAAGAGGTAACTGTTCTTTTCTCACTGGAATTCTCTCAACCAGAGTTTTAAAAGGAATCCAGTTATTTTATTGTTTTCTTCTCTCTTTTTTCAGCTTGGTCCTTCACGTGGAAAGCTCTCTGCCCCCTGTGAGGTGGGCTGCCCTGTTAATTGCCTGATTACAGAGTGGTCCACCTGGTCAGAATGTTCACCTGAAGGGATCCAAAAGTCTGTCTTGTCAAATCTGTCACTTAGCAATGCAGCTCAGAGGACAGTGTTTCATATATATATATATATATATATATGATTTTTTTTATTATTGTTTTATTATAAAAACATAAGTGGTCCTTTCCTTCTCAACACTGGCAAGCAAACAAACAAATAAATACATTTGTTATTTAAAATTAATAAATGAATATTTAATATTATTTATAATCTTTTTATTTGTTTGTTTGTTTTTTGATGAAAGCATAAATGTTTTTTTTTTCCTTTTCAATACTGGCAAATAAAATGAATAATAATAACAACAACAAATTTTGTTATTTGATATTAATAAATGTTTAATATTTTTTATTATAATATAACTTTTTTTGATGAAAACATAAGTGGTGCTTTCTATTTCAACACTGGCCAGTAAAAATTAATCAAGTATCTTCGGAAAGATAGCACACGGCTGTTTACACCCTTGAGAATTCAGTCATGCTTCCTTGAACTTGGCTGTTGTTAGAGGCTTAATTAAAAGCTTTTTTCAGTCTCATTTATCTCAATTCAAGGCTCTGCAGGTCCCATGAGTAAACACTTCCCAGGGCACTTATTAAACTTTCAGCATGCAAACAGAGCTCTCCCTGGACTTTAGCTTCTGATCCCATGTGTTTGTGTCTTGTTGTATGTGAATTTTCCAGGTCAGATGACACGGTCCAGGGTCGTTTTGCAGCCTGCCGGAGAGGGAGGTCGTCCCTGTCCATCTCAGCTTTCCCAAACTCACCCCTGTCCCATCAGGCCATGCTACAGTTGGAGACTGGGGGACTGGAGACCATGCAGAGTAGAGGTAGTACTGATGCAGTGCACATGATTGAGTTAAACTCAAGCAAACAACTGCCGCTGCTGCTGAGACACTGTCCTTTACATGCACAAATGATCAGACTGAAGAAATTCACATAGCTGAAGGCTACTGCTTTCCATTAAACTGTCAAAGCAAATGCATCATATCAGGGTTTCCTCTGAGCTCATATGAGATAAAATCATCTTCGCTGGGCTAAGGTTTTTAGTTGGAAAAAAATTTAAATACAGATAAATTGTCAATAAAATAGAAAGTGCCTTTATTAGTGTCTCAGCAGGTTTCTTTCTAGTAGAATAAAGGCTACCAATTAAAGGTGCATTTTTATACCATGTATAAAATCTTACTCTAGCTTCACTGAAATAAATGTCCTGAGCAATCAAATGTGTCTCAATGGCAGACCTTGGTTCTGTAAGCAGCTAAAAAAAAAGATTCAGGGGAGCAACACACTTTTTTAGCCAATCAGAACAGCAAGCGTTCAGAAACACTCTCTGGCTGTGAATCATTTGGCGTGTTGGACACAAGCCCATGCGGAGGCCTCTTTATGGTGTTATGAGCCAATTATATTATGGTTAAATCTGGAGTGGTTTCTTTCTACCCACCAGATTTACACTTTCTAAATAACAGAAATCTAGACAAATTACCTGATATATATCAGCAGCACACAGAAAATGAATAATACATCTAAATAGCCCTAAACAACATCACTATTTTGATCTTTAGACAGCTGAAACCCTCTTGCGCTCTCTCTGTAATCTATCTCTCTCTGTTTGCAGGGGGCCGACTGTGGCGAGGGAGTAAGTCAGAGGGAAATATCCTGTGTAGTGCACTGGGGTTCTCTTTCAGGTCCTCCTCAGCCCGTTCCAGTAGAGGATAAAATGTGTGTAGGAAATTCACAGAGCAAAGTCAGCGAGACTGAGTTACTGCAGCCCTGCACAATCCCTTGTCCAGGTCTGCATCTCACAAAACACAAAGCTAAATAATTGCACGTTAGTGACTTCTTGATAGTGATATTTATCTAAATGAAGGGTTCGTTAGTGATGAATCAGCGCCTTTGATTAATCACATCTATCTTGAGGAGCTCTTTGCAACTGCTCATCGGCTGTAATTTCCGTCTCGCATGTCAGGAGAATGTCATCTAACCAAATGGTCAGCTTGGAGTTTGTGTCAGCTGCTGTGTTTGGATGGGCGGAGTTTTGAGACATGGGGTCGACAGGCACGTTCTAGAGCCATAGTAACACAGGTCCCGGAGAACCAGGACACCTGTCCCAGCCAGATGTATGAGACACGGCCATGCCGAGGTTTGTGGGAAGCCATACAGAAGAAAAACACCAAGCAGTCTGATTGAATTTTTTTTTTTTTTTTTTATATTAGAATGATTTCTGAAGAATCATGTGGCACTGAAAACTGGAGTAATGGCTGCTAAAAAATCAGCTTTGCCATCACATTAATAAATTACATTTGAAAGCATATTCAAATAAAACATATTTTAAAAAAAATTTAATAATATTTCACAATATTAGGTTTTTACTGTACAAATAAACAGTAAAGTGCATTTTTAGGTGAAAATGAAGTCAGATTTTTAGGTGAAATAAAGTAAAATTTAAGGTTACAATTTATTTATTTAGTTATTTTTGTCATACGCTAGGTATTTTCAACACATTGATTCAAAGATATTGATAAAGTACCAGTCCTCCACATTTAAAAGA